TTTTTACATCAACATTCATTGGAGTTTCGAAGAATTAGCTATGGATCAGGGGCTTAACAACAGTCCTATTAAATAAAAAAAAGGGGGCGCTGCAGAACATGTTTGGGAAACAAGTTTCATTTTTTGGTTTGGTTTCTTCCAAGTAACAACAAAATCCCATGATTCCCCCCGCTCCCAGTAGAGAAACTGCTTTGTTTACTTTTTCACCACTACATAAAAAACAACAAGTTATTTTTAACAACGTTTTCTGCTGCGCTCAACAGGTTGAAGCGCGGGAAGTAACCGTCACTTGCGTGGTCATGTGATCGCAGCCGCCAATCAGGACGGGCCAGCTTGGATATTATTTGAACCCTTATAGTATATTCATAAACGTAAAAGAATGTTGTTTCGAATCTTTTTTTTTTTTACTTTTTGTCATTATCCAATATACTGATTTTGTCCAAACATATCCATAGATATTACATAATTATGCTAATATCGGGCCGATAACATCAGTTGGCCGATATTATAGGACATCCCTAACAATTAGTTTTATTTTTTTTTAATTACTAGACATAATTGGTAGAGTTGTACGATAGGAACTTTTATCCAATATGGTGATTTTGTCCAAACATTTAATTCCTGATTCTGACATCAACCGAAACCGATATACGCCGTCATTTCCCCCCAAAACTGAGGTAAACGTCTCAGGAACCTACAAGCGATTCCAGCATAAATCCAGGCAAAAACTGATAACGAACATTATAGATAAATATATGCTAATATTGGACGATATTATATTATCGCACAGCCCTCATAATTAGTTGAACTGTTTTGTTTTTTTTAATTACTAGACATCCAGTCAACAGTTGAAAAATACTGTACTAAAGAGTAAAGCCAACCACCAGCACCCACCCACCCACCCCTCCCCTACTCAGACAGACACCCAACCCACCCCCCCCGCTCCTGTTATCTAACCTTATCTTATCAGCCTGGCTTGCTGCACCCTGCACCACCCTGCTCCTGCAGACTGTCCCCCTGCTCCCACTGCCACGCACACACTCATCACCACACAGGTAAGTCAGCTGCTTCGACTCACACACTCAGGCCTACACACACACACACACACACACACATTCATTAGACTTGCTTATTTGCTGGTATTTAAAGACAAAGCAGAGTTCATTTGAATTTTATCTTTTAGTTTCCACAAATTAGAGTTGTTTTTTTTTTTTTTAAGCAGCCGTGTTTTGTTGGAATCATTTACGATGTGCGCGTGTGTGTTTTTTTTTTTAAGAAGCACCAAGCTTTGCTATTCTTCTACATCCTCTACAGTCGCCATCGCGGAACACCACCAAAGTTTCCAGTGCTTTCGGCTGCATTTTTTTTTTTTTTTAACCTCACAGCAATAACAATATAGGCGGCCCTGCACTGCCAGCTCTGCATTAGCAATACAAGTGAGGACAATGTGGGGAACAGTGTCGAGCCAACGGTGCTTTAGAAAAGACTGGATCTACTACTTTTCCACTCTAGACACTAGACACGTTAACATGCCAGCACATGAGGTTTTTGATCTTGTTGTGTCACAGATGTCACAGCAGTTTTGGTCAAACATATTTGATTATACCGTTAAAACACTGAATAAAATCAAGTTATTTATCTAGGATATATGCCTCTACACCTTACCTGGACCTGTTTACCGTCTCTTAAATACATTTCTACCAACTTTGGTGGATCTCACTTATCACTCTGCAGTTTGGAAAAAAAAACAGACGGAAGCCATATTTACTGTGACGTGCCCTAAGTTGTATGGTTGCCCACAAAAAAAACAACCTCACTATCTACACCAGAAAGAATTTAAAAATGGAAAAATGTCCTACACATAGAACGATTAGCAAATCATCAATATCAAATGACATACGTTAAAACACGGATAATTATTTGGAAAAATTTGGTTTAAAAAAGTTCCCCAAAATGTATCAAACCTGTTGGAGTTTTCAGGGATTACAGACGTGGACAAGTCTTTGCATGTGTGTGTGTGTTTCTCCAGGAACTCTGGTTTCCTCTTACAGTGTGAGCCTCAGCATATGGACCTGTGATGGACTGTCAAGCTGTCCAGAATGTTTTCCTGACATTTACCTTGTGTCACTCTGGGCAGGGGTCATTTAGTAGCTGGATGAGGATAAATAATGGGATTTTGATTTAAAACGAAATGGTAGTTTAAGACAGAAAACAACTGTAATTTTGTTGTACTTGTCTTTTTTTTTTTTCAATTTAACATGCCTTTTAGAACTGAAAAAAATAATCAACGGATTAATTAAATTGAATAAAATGCTTGTTGAAAGTTAGTGCTGAAATGGCTTGAATTCCATTTCCAAAAAAAAGTTTGTACACAAAACCTTGTACAGAACATTTTCATAAAGCAATGGACCCCCCCCCCCCCGGGCACATAAAAAAATGTAATATATTATGTATTTAAATGAAAGCCACTGTAAAGACTAAAACCAACCAACTCTATGAAGCTACATTTTGAGTTATACTTTTGCATAATTATCATTTCCATCAATATACCAGGAGATTTTGGGATATATTTATCTTTATATTTAGGAACGTTAATTCATCTCAATTAATCATGATTATTTACGATTATGTACGACTGTACGTTGGCACACCTTGCATACTTATTTTTAACCTTATTAATATTAACGTTTAATTTGTTGAGCATTTTTTTAAACATATAAACGTAATGTATAATTTTGTTCTATGAATATATGTATAGAACTACCGCTGGTCAATTAGTTGTGTAATACTGAATTCCTAAATGTACACATTTAACTTAGTAATGTATAATTTTGTTCTATGAATATGTATAGAACTACCGCTGGTTAATTCGTTGTGTAATACTGAATTCCAAACTGTACACATTTAACTGATGTATTTAGTTTTGTTTACTTCTCAAAAAACAGAAATGGTTCACTAAACTAAAATATAATTGAAATATACCGGGAATATTTAATAAATACAAATAATGTACAAAATGTAAGAGGAAAATTTGACAAAACCATATGTGCAAGTCATCTTCTTTAACATAGTACGCGAGAACAGGTCGAACTGATAAACACATTCGTGTCTAATATAACCAAATGGAACTTAACCGTCATATTTTTTGATATTTAAACTACTTTAATGCCCCTCTTTGACTTATTGCAAATATAGATTACTTTTCGTGCACACACTTTCCGTTATTTGTCCATAAAACATGCGGTCAGGTGCATTCTATTTTGCCCTGTTTCACTCAGCTCTTCAAAGTACCTTTAGTGCACGACAGTATTTTTGCAAAACGTACTAATATTTTTGGCAGGTATTTCACTGACAGTTTCGTTTCACGGTAACAACCTCCTGCAGCACATAAGCGCCGAATAACCACAAACATTTTAACAGTCAGGTTAGCAAAGTAAGTTAGCGGCACCGGCTAGTAACAGTTAAAGCAGTGAGCAGCAATTAAAGCTAACCAGGTTAAGTTTCTCATCATTCGGACAGTAATACATATTGATTAGGGAAAAAGCATAAGGCATTGTGCAAAGTCATATAAGAGCCCGTCTGCTAAATCATGAGGAAAAGGTTAGCATGATGCTGGAGAAAGTTTACCTCATTCAGAAATACTGCCGTAGACTTACATGCAACTACGGTACTCGACGAGGACCAAAAGGTACGAAGACAAACTCGTCACGTCTCGTTGCGCCTTTTCTCCCTTGTGCCGTTTAACTCACTATGAAATAATTACACTGAAAAAAATGAAATCAAAAACACCGAAAATGAGAAATTTTAAATGAAATCAAGTGCATACGGCACACAAAAAACATGCTGGATTAATGATAAAAAAACAAAGAATTATATGCTTCATATGTGTACAGAATACGTTTTAATTGTTAAGTGTGCTCTTTGTATTTTTATTACAATCGACGTTGTATATTTAGTTCTTCATTCTATACAGGTAACAAAGATAGTATAGTATATCAATAATTTACTATTTATCAGCCTTTTAATGTATTTTAGAATTTTCTTAACGCTCTCCCTGCTCAAAGTTGGGATTATGTATCATATACTGCCGTTGTAGTTAAAATTTTCGTTAGTGTATATGTGACAAGTTAGTATAAATCGTCGCATTTCTTTGTTATATCAACTTTTACACAGTCATCACCACGCCGTGCAGCTTTAACAGCTTTTTCTTTGCAAGTGAAGCTTTCCCCGGGTGCCTCAATGCAACACAATTACAACGTGGTTCCGACCTCGTGATTGGTTGTCTGCTTGCCTGCCGTTTTTCGATTGGCTCTTCCCATCTCGTGCTAAAATCTAACCATGCCCAGTAGGTCTACCAAGCTGCGCTTGCGCTTTAGTGCGCAAAGTCATGCAGGTTGCAAAAATTAGACAGGAAAAATTTACTAACAGACGTTACCCGATTTCAAAATAAAGGTTCAGAAATTAAAACGACAGAAATTAATTGGCCGATTTCTATTTACTACAAAAATAATTGCGATACAATTTTTGAAAAAGTAACATATGAACTGATCTATACCACCTATACCTTTCTTTTCTTGCACCTTTGCTCTGAGACGAGCAAATTCCCTATCAATGTAAACGTTTATGTATGGTTAACTTCAGAAAAAGTGAAACACAACGACGAAGTGAATGCCAAAATAAGTGTTGTGCCATTCCTAGCTCAAACTTTCCACTGCTCTCCCTAATTCACGTACTGCCAATCTCAACTTCTACTTGTACTCCTTAAAATAATTTTAATTTCCAGTAAAATAATTTTCCTTTATATTTAAAGAAGCAGCAAACCAATAAACTTCACTTAAAATACTGAATTTCATATTTTTATCCACTGACTTTTCCAGATTATTAAATATAAATGTTCTATCATAAATGTAAAGTAAACTAAATTACAAAGATTTGGTAAAAGAATTGAAGGACAAGCGTGTAAAACAACCAAGAAACAAGCAAAATATCTCACTCCCTCCACACGTTTAGTCTATAGCAGGAAATAATAAACTATGTTTTCCGTCATATTTCTATACCTTTGTTGGGTAAGAATACCATTTAAATTAGACTTTGTTCTGAAAGTCCGCTACGGATGTTGCACACGTAGTTCCGGGATATTGACAGCCGGCGAGCCTCAGAAAGTCTTGAGAGTGACTTCAGTCCAGGAGACCATGTCCGCTGATGCAGGCGAGCTCTCCTCTCCTCTGCACTTATTTGTATCTCACTCTCCATGAAATAACAGGGACACGCGGCCTCCAGGATGGCCAGCTCGGTGAGTAGCCTGTCAGCGGCTCTCCGCCTCTGTGTCGCGGTCTTTTGCACACGCGTTTTGCTGGACCTGCTTGTGTTTTGTCACTGCGAGTCGCTTTCTTCCAGTCCGCAGCGAGGGTTTTTCTGACCGAGGAGCTAGCTAGACCCTATGCGTGCCGCTGTTCCTGCCTGAGCCCGCATATACACCAAATTCCATTCAAAACTCTCACATTTGAACTTTTTTTAATCATTTGACAAGACATTTACTGCTTCCTCACTGATGTCTTATAATTGCTATTAATGTATAGTTTTCGAACTTCAATTCGGCATATGGTTACACTTATATAAATATTTGACCATTTATTTAGCTAAGATGTGAACTTTATAGAATTTTTTTTTTTTTACCTTTTGCTTTCCATTTCCAGGTTATTATTCTTATTCTGGTCAAATTTTTATTCAGTGTATTGTTGGAGTAGTGTGCAGTGAGTGCCAGAGTGTTGGTTTGTGTGTGGTATTTAGCAAGACTTTCCATGCTGCAAGTCAGGTTCTTCAAATTATGAGGATCAAAAAGGGCTTGTACTTCAAAGCTACACAAAAGAATGAAATTTGAACGTTCTGCATACAGGAAAGGTACCATGCACTTGAAAGTTTTTGGATTTTTTTTTTTTTTTTTCACATTTTAGGTTAAGGAGATGGACATTAGATAGGCTTTTTAAAATAGATTAGGGGTTAGGATACTGAAGAGTAAATGGCAAATTCGGAATACAGCAAAGAGTAGAGACATGTTTTAACAAGATTCTTTGCTATGTAGTGAGTTGACGTTCAGTTTGCACGTGTTCTACTTAGTAGGAGAGAGTGGCATTATATTCACAGTATTCTGATGCAAGAGGTGAATTTTAAGTGTAGACCATGCAAGAAAAAAACAACAACAAACAAACAGTGAAATTTAATTCAGAAGCAAAGATGATGCAAAATGCAATTTTCTCAACCATATTAATGGTATAACAAGGAAGTGTGTTTTGTAAAATACTTTTCATCCCTGATAGTATTAGAATCAATTTTGTACGTCTTTTAGTAAAGGTTTTTACGAAAGAGATTTGAATAAGAGGTGAAATGTTTGAATGATGCTCAATAGGTGGGAAGGGGCCAAAAATCGGTACAGTGAAAAATCACTGATGTTGCTATTGATTTGGCTGATTTGTAATGTTTTGTGGATGTTTACGAATACTGTTTTTTTTTTTTTTTTTTTTTGGAGACCATGAATTTGCGACAAAGCAAAAATAATTAAATGTGTACCTATTTAAATCTTAAATCCAAATCCCTTTTTATATTGACAGAACACACTTTTTTTTTTGTTTTTCTTTTTTTTGCAGTTTGCATGCAGAGATTCTGCCTCTAAAACAAAGTCAAACTTTGTGAGTGTGGTTTTGTATGCACAACCAATCAAGTTATCCATACTGATATAATATTAAAATTGAAGATGCTTCATAGCAGGATTTTTGACGGACACTCTATCCAACAAACTCTGTCTCTGTCGCTTCGGTAATCATCACAGTGAAGTTCTATGACATCATCTCTTTTCCCAGGGTGCTGTTCAGGTGAAACTGGAACTTGGTCATCGTGCCCAAGTGAGAAAGAAACCCACAGTGGAAGGCTTTACCCACGACTGGATGGTGTTTGTCCGAGGACCAGACCACAGCAACATTCAGCACTTTGTGGAGAAAGTCGTTTTTCACCTGCATGAAAGTTTCCCCAAGCCAAAAAGAGGTAATTTTTTTTTTTTTTTTTTTTACCCCAAACTTTTTTAACTTGAAAAATGCTGGGTTTCTTTCAAGTGTGTTTGTGTGCTCATGAGCAAACCAACATTCAGACTGACATTGTCCAGGGTGACAGAGAAAGTTTAATTTGTTCTTTTGGCGGTGGTTGTTGACGGAATATTTTTACACCTCTGAAGTGGCAAATAAAATAATCTACACTACATGATCCGGAAAAGGCTAATAATAATGTTTAATGACGTGGAAGAAATCTTATCTGGAGCCGCTCTCGGCTTTTGCTGCATGAGGAGAGCCGGTGTGAAGGTTCTCCTGACGGAGTTAATTGCACGTGATGTTGCTTTTGGACTTGAAACAGACCGACTTTGTGCGTTTGTGTGAGGGGAAGAGCTGCTGGCTCCGGGGGGGGGGTGCCGCTTTGAAAATGCACGGTAAATCTTTAGCCGTTGCTCCTGCGCTGGTCGCTGACCTCGGAAATTTGAGCATTGCAGAAACAGGCAGTCAGAAAAATCAAGGTTAGTGGGATAATTGCTTTTCATGGTGGACTTGGCTGTGCAGCATGAC